GTAAAATGGATTAATTTGGGGTTTGGATTCCATTGGGAACTGGGTGTCTGGGTTGTGGAAACAAGTAACTGAAAACAGCTCAGCAAGTTAAGTCTGCAGCTTGGGGACGTGGACCAGACCCTGGGTCTGTGTTGCTGCAGGCTAGCATGTCTGGCTCAACAAGACAGGGTTCTGGAAGTCCCAAGCTAGCAAGGCTCAGAGGTAATTTCAGCACATCAGGCGACAGTCCCAAGGGGGGGGTCTCTGTGACTGAACCCATTACCGTATCCATTGCGGACGATTTCCTGGACCCATTGGTTGGATATTATTTGTTCCTAGTTTTTGAGGAACGAAGCAAGGGGGTACCTAAATAGGTGTGACGGGTTCGTCAGCTGCAGTTGGTATTGAGGGGAGTGGTCTGTCAGTGCCTCAACCAATATGGAAAAACTGATGTTTTGAGGTGGATGGTTGTGACAGCAAAGACTGGAGGCCTCATTGTTTAATGTTTAGGTAATCTAGATTTTTTCCTCTGAGGCTCAGAGTAGTGTTGAGTTGGAAAATGCGGAGTGTGGGATTTATGCTGAGGTTGTGGACTAAATTTTCTTTTTTGTCCAGGAGTATAAATCCCTAATGAGTGGAGAGCAGCCCTGGAGTGTTTAAGCATATGGAGGGATGCCTCAAGTCTTCCTGGCAAACAATTCGGTGCCTCTGAAGGGAAGGTCTTCTACAGTCGTCTGCACTTCCTTATGGAAACCAGGTAGGTGCAACTAGGATGCTCACCGCACAACCACCACTGTGGAGATGAACTGGGCTGCTATGTTGGCTACATCAAGTGCTGATTGGAGTACTGTCTTGGCCAATAGTTGTCCCTCATTAACAATGGCCTGAAACCATTCACAGGACTCTGGGAGCTGATCAATAAAAGAATTAAGCTTGGGGTACTTGATGTAGTTATACTTTGCTGTTAGAGCATTATAGTTTGCAATTCCGAATTGCAGCGTGGCAGAGGAAGAGGCCTTTCTCCTGAGTAGGTCGAAGATTTTCCAATACCTCTCATAGGGAATGGATCTCATTTGGTATTGGCATGGGAGTTTATGGCATCCACAACAATAGAATTAGGAGGGGGGAGGGGGAAAAAATCCCATATCCCTGTCTGGGATGTAATATTTTTCATCAGCCCGTTTGCAGGTAGGCATGACTAATGCCAAGGTTTGCCACATAAGCTTGGCTGGGTCCAGAAGAACCTCCTTGATGGGGAGGGCTATTCTGCAGGAAGAGGAAGGCAAGGTGTCCAAGAGCTTATGGTGGGAAGGGATCACACTGCCTCGTCTGGACAGGAGGAAAAGATGGTCTTTGTTGTGACTTCCTCTTCAAATCTGCCCTTCTATTCCTTCATGATTTCCTCTGGGGTTTGGAGGCTGTAGATGCTATGGCTGAGGGAGAATGCCTCAAGGGCTCATGGTGGGTCTTGCTGGATGCTCGGGAAGCGGGAAATCTGTATGCCATCCAAGGATGGCATACAAGGTGGTGGGATAGGTGCCAATGGCAGCGCCCATGGTTGGGCGTACCATGGTAGTTGAGGAACAGACGGAGGGTATGACTGAAGGGTTGCAAGTTGACAGTGGCCACCATAAGGAGCGTGGGAAAAGTGGTGAGAGGTGACCTGCTCCAGCTCACTTTCTGATTCACCACTGGAGAATGGAGGTGTGTGACACAGTGCCTGTAAAGATTCCTGTTTCTGAAGGAGACTTGGTAAGGGGAGACCAAGGGAGACTGGTATGACACATACCATAAGTTCTCTTGAATGTTTGAATTCCTGCAGTACCAACTGAACCGGTGTCATGATGGTGATAGTCGGTGGGTTGACACAGAGGGGATCGGGGATCTTGGCCATACCAAGGACTCCAAGGTTGGGTGCTCACTGTTGACAGTGCCTATGGTACTGCTTGTACCGGCAGCATCTTATCAGTGGTTTGACCTTTGTCCTTCTCTTTATCAGCCTGTCCCATTGTTTTGGTGCTTATGCCCAACAGGTCTTTAGTACCTGCCGCTCCAGACCCTTGTAAGCTATGGGTACCATGTTTGGACTGTTTCAGTATTGACGATACTTAATGTGCCGGTGATCTTTTTTGGCTAGCTCTGGGCTCAACCTGGGGACTAACTGCTCTCTTTTTGAAGCAGTATGTGAGGGGTCTGCAGCTATTTTCTTCAGTCCATGGTCCCTAGATGTTGAGGGCTGTGGGGAAGATTCGTGCCATCTGGGTGACTCCTGGTGTGGCTACAGGCAAGGCTGAAGAGCTGTCTCCATAAGCATGAGTTTTTGTCTCAGTTCTCTGTCCTTCTGCTATCTGGGCTTGAGTTTTTGGCAGAAACCACTCTTTTCAGTGGTTTTCCCTGAGGCAGCAGATACAGCGAGAATGCTTATCCACTACAGAGATGACCTCCTTTCACAAGAGGCATGTCTCTGGGAAAAAACCAGACAAGGCAAAAATAAAAAGGGTTTTTTAAGGGGGCAGGGGAGAGAAAATAAAGCTCTACAACTAAGAGAAAATGGATTAACTAAACTACTGAAATGCTAAGAGAGAGAGAGAACAATCCAATGAATAGACTGCTGATAGTTCCATCATGTTTGCTCCCATGAGGTTTGTGGAAGAAAAAGGGAAGATGGAGTGGTTGGTTCAGGTGCAAAGAGGAGGATACTTTAGGTAAAAATTTAGGGTGAGGTCTTAGGGTAACCTTATCTTTGCAAAAGATGTTTTAGGTGGATGCACGATGAGGGCTCCTAACTCTCCCACTCGTCAGGTGGACATGATAGTGACTAAGAATGCCACCTTCATTGACAGATGTGTTAGAGAGCATATTGCTAATGGTTCAAATGTGGCCCTGGTAAGGCAGCGTAGTGCCAAATTAAGTCCCAAGGTGGGGTAGGTACTCATATTTCAGGGTAGACATTTCTGATGCTCCTAAGAAAGCGTTTGGTGGCAGGATGGGCAAATATCAATATACCATCCACCTTGTGGTGAAAAGCAGTAACAGTAGTGAGGTGTACTCTAAGTGAGCAAAGGGATAGGCTGGAGTTCTTTAGTTCCAGCATGTATTCGATTGATAAGGGGGCAACAACAGGTCAGGCTCGTTTGTTTCGGCACCAGATTGTGAATTTCTTCCATTTATGCAGGTAAGTATTTCATGTGCTTGTCCTCCTACTGTTTACTAATATGTCTTTTCATCTGTTCAAAGAAGCTCAGTTTGTCCTGCTGGAGGCATTTAGAAACCATGCTCTCAGGTGAAGTCTCTCTTGGTTTGGATGGTAAACCTCTCTGGCATCTTGTGAGAGAAGATTCGGCAAGAGTGGAAGAGTACACTCTGCACCTACCACCATCCTCAACAGGAATGAGCACCAAGTCTGTCTGAGCCATGTGGGGCTGTCAGGATGACTTTGGCCTTGTTGGCTCTTATTTTATGTATCACCCTTACTAACAGGGGGATAGGTGGGAATGCGTATAGCAGAGGCACATCCCATTTGAGGAGAAAGGCATCACCCAAGGAACGGGAACCCAATTCTGGTCTTGAGCAGAACTACGGGCATTTGCAATTCTGGGAGGTTGTGAAGAAGTCTATGCATGGGTGACCCCAGTGCTCAAATATGTTGTGTAGGACTGTGTTGTTTAGCTCCCACTTGTGGTCCTGGAAGAATTCCCTGCTCACCATATCCACTGTGGTATTTTGACATCCTGGAAGGTACAAAGCTGAGATGCTGACATTGTGCCGGATACACCAGTTCCATAGTTTCATGGCTTCGGTGCATAGGAAGTGCGACCTTGTCCCTCCCTGTCGGTTTATATAAAGCATGCAGGCAATGTTGTCTGTCATTACCAGTATAGTCTTGTTCCTGATCAATGGCAGAAAGTGCAAGCACGCGTTGTTAACTGCATGCAGTTCCAGGAGATGTGTGTAACCATGTCGGTGGGAGACCTCCGGCCCTGAATTGTGTGATAATAGCCCTCCAGCCTATCGAGGCGGCATCGGTTGTGCAAATCATTGAAAGTGGAGTCAGTGTGAAAGGGACTCCCACGAACACATTGTTGGGTTGCGTCAACCAGCACAGCAAGTCTTTGGACTTTAAGCAGCATTACAAGGTGTCTGTTTAGGCTGTGTTTGTGTGGTATGTAGACTGTTCTTAACCCAGCCCTGAAGGCCGCGCATGTGAAGATGCACGTGTTGCACCACAAATGTGGTTGCTGCCTAGTGGCCTAATAGTTGAAGGCAGGTCCGTGCTGAAATCTGTGGGCTGTTCAGTACAGTGGAGGTCAGACTGACTATGGTGAGGAATCTGGTTGGTGGTAGTGATGCTTTGGCCTCTAGAACATCGAGATGCACTCTGATGAAGTCCAGTTTCTGCATGGATGTCAGTGTTGATTTTTGTACTTTGAGCTGTAGTTGCAATCGTGAGAAGAGGGTGATTGTGTGTGTAGTATCCATGACATCTGCCTGGCTGGGTGTTTTTAACAGGCAACTGTCCACATAGGGAAAAATTGTGATTCCGTTTGCAGAGATGTGCTGCCACTACAGTGAGCATTTTGGAAAAACACCTGTGATGCTGTCAAATAGCCAAATGGCAGAACCTTGTATTGATAGTGTTCCAGTCAGACCTGGCATCATAGCAAGGGTACTTCCAGTATCCTCGGGAAGAGCCCATATATTGATTCCTCATTGTTTGCAACTCCAAAAAGTTGGTGCTGAGCTGAAATTCCTTGAGACACCACCTGCCTCAAGTCCCATCTAAACTCCCCATACTGAAAAACTGGTAGCAGCAGTCTTAATTTGAAAAATACTGCTTACTTTTGGTGGTTTTAAAAAAAAAATCAGAGAGAAAAAAACTCCAACACAGGAGTTCTAGTCTTCATACTGAAATACACTGTAGAAACAGAACTTGAGTACCTAAGAAATGCTGTATTGTCACTGTACAGCAGAGCCAAAGAAAGTTCTCCCTCAATACAGAAGTAACCAGAAACAGACAAGTATAACCGGCATGTAGTAAGAATTTATTCAAAACTAGAGCATGAAGACATGAGCATACTAAGAAAAAGTTCACATAACCAAGTTACATGAATAGGACAAATCAGACACCCATGCAGAAGAAAACATGGACAAAACAGTAATGCACATGGTTTTCGTAATTCCAAAATATTTAACATCCTAAAACAGTGTTCCAGACACCTAGAGTACTTCATTAATGTACAAGGTCATTTTTCTGAATGTGGATAAGTGCAATTTGTGGTAGGAATATGGAAAATAAACAATGAATTTAACAGCTACAGTATTTATCAATCCTCATGCCATGTTTAAGAATACAAGCAAAGAATTACATCATTACACAAAATAAGTGAATGTCTTTTCAAGGCAAAAAGTTTCTAGTAAAAACTACTAAACTGCTGAAATAATGATTTGATAATATAAATGTTAAAAAAACAAAACCCCCCTCATCCATGGATGGGTACTTTTTATAAAATTACACTAATATTCTGTAGAATCAAAAAGTTATGGTAACTGAATGGTCCGGTGCTCAAAACAGTAATCAGATCTTGAAAAGAATAGTTCTGAAATCTGACAGACTACAGAAATCATATGTAACATTAGGCAGGCAAAAAAGTAGGGAAAAATGTAAATCTCACTTGAGAAACGGTAAGTCTATACTATAGTGGTATTTTCATACTTTAAGAATTTTGAGGTGAACAGCTTTACAAGCAACCGTATAGCCAAGTCTATGACAAATATACAATAAATACGGTATAGTTTTGTAAGAGTTCTGTGTATTATAAAAATATAAAACTAATTTCCAGATTGCAGCAGGCAAACCAACCTGTTAAAGGTAGCACAATGAAGCTATGACAATCTTGACTGCCAGGAATCATTCAGACCAAGCTGATTTTGGTTTACATTAGGCAGATATTTACAATTTCATTATAATTTAATAATTAAAAAAATCTATTTGTTAGAAAATAAATCTGCTTCAACCTCTCTTACAAACTTTGTGGTTTTTTTCCCCCTCTAAATACAGCTTTCTGAAGTGTTAGCTAATCGTTTAGTGTAGTAATTATAATCTCAATTCATCTTCCCTTCCTCCTATTTGCTGACAGAGTTCAGAGTCATACTAAGAGTTCCACTAAAAAAAGGCAACCACCAGATCAAAATCTTTTTATTTTTCTAAGACACAACCTACCTGCAGTGTTGTAAAGATAGTTTCTGGGCACTGGCAAGGTTTGTTCAAAACCTTCTAATTCTCAATCAAAGAGGATATAGCTCAACAGTATGCTGCTGGGTGAACATGCAGAAGAGTAGAAAAAAAGCTATAGCTTCAGATAATTTTAAGAAAAGAAACTGTTTGAACTTCCTTAAACAGAAATATTTAAAAAAACCCTAATTTCTATTATATTGATGGGAAAGTTTTGATTTTTGTCATTAATAGAAAATTGTGGATACTTTAAAGCTCGATAAAGACATGGAACACAAGAAATAACTCCTGACTTTCCTCTTAGTTGTGTTTCAGAGTCTAATTATCCAGCTGAGTGCAAAAGGGGAGCAGAGGTGGAATATTTACTAGCTAATGGCTTGAGGGAAATGCTATCATCAACTTATTCTGCGTATTACCAGAACATAGTATAAACATGGTTGGGGTGAAGAGGATAATTGTTTAGACCCAAATTCTGCACTCCAATCAGTGGGAATTTGGCTCAGTTCTGTCTTATATTCGCTAACACAAACTCCCTAAAATGAATTTTACATGATGCTTCAACTAATACTGCAGTGAACTGCAAAGATTTTAAAAAAATCCCAGGTATTCAGTTAAAGATATAGAAATTTAAAAGAATGTGTGTAAGACTATTACAGATATATGCACATTGACTTGCCCCCCAAAACCAGAATTATATTTCGGTAGTTATACAGTGCTTGTCCCTGTTGTATCCAAGTTCAGAGTTCCGCTTAGGTCTTGCAACAACTGCTATTCCTAACACATAAAGCAATGAAGACGGTAGAGTTGCAGAGGAATGGCTAGCATAGCTTGTATATTTGCCTCTACTCTTGAGGTTTCTGGAATACTCCCCCCAGTGAAGTAAGTAATGCCACAATATATTGACTTAGAAAAGCATGCACTTGTGTGTACACACAATGCCTGATGAGCTCCTACAAGTTTCCACATGCAAAGAGTACAGATTTATTTTCATGTATATACTTTTGAAAGCCTGGACACTACTACTTTAAGGCATTTTACATGGTATTACGTTAAAACAAGGCATAGATAAAAGAAGTTAACTGTATAGTTGTGTGCAGCACCTAGAGCTGGGGTTTTCAAAGGGGCCTAAGGATTCAGTCATCACATTCCCATTAAATCAATGAGAGTTGAGCAACTCACTTTCTCAGCCCCTTTAAAAGTCCCGGCCTCAAACACGAAGGCAGTTTCTCTGTAAATATATATGCATTATTCTATATTTCCTACCCGTTTTTCAGCATTAGTTATGTCTTTAAGTATTGCTGTAGATGGAACCCTGAACTCAAGTCTACACTGGTAAAAAAATTAAGCCCAGCTGAAAAAACCTTAAAGATTAGTTAAACTACCTTTATTTTTAAGCTTTTGAAGAGGTTTTCATTATTATATACATAAAACCACTACACACTCCCATCTTGCCAACTGTAAAAATTATTTCAGCCCCCCTTCTAGCTCTGTCAGGATGGAAAAAATGACTATGCATCAAGGTATCATAAGAATTTGTGGTATCACTCCCAATGAATTGCTTACGTCCCTGCATGAGAGAGGGTATGTCTATCCTGGTGCTGGAAGGTGTAGTTTCTAGCTTGAGCGGACATACCCACGTGAAGTGTAGCTGTGGCAGCAGGAGAGGCTAGCCACACCAAGTACGATCCTGTCTCAGACCCTTAGCACATTACACCTTCCAACTCCAGTGTATAGCCTGAGTCTAAAGTGGATTGGGGCTTTAAAGTTTTCTATGATAAGTTTTAATTAGATAGAAATTGACCTACACATACTGTGATATGAATAGTGATCTGCATTGTATAGAGTTGTTTTTTGTTTTTTTAATTGCAGCCCCAAACTTACTTTTATAGATGCAATTTCAGGCAGGGAGAGAAGCATTACTACATCAGCTATGGCCTAGAGCTCAGTCACATATTTTCACAATATCCCAGGTTTTTGGCAGCAAAGCCTCTACCCTTGAACTGAAAACAAAAATATGCAGTGAAGTTTTCTTCTGGAAGTACTAACCAAAAGAATTAAAAATAAAAACATTTAAATAAGCATCTTTAAAAAGGGTGTTTTTTTTTTTTTTTAACTTTTCCTTTAGTGAATTTAATACTCAGAGAAAGACAACTAGCCCTCAACAGCTAGACTTAAGCATACTGCATGGAAACATTAATCTTCCTCACATAGCTTAGCCAACATATCAAATACGATCTACACTAGCATCTCCTGCTTCAATATTTACCGTCTTAGAGACGGACTAACAACTCTGAGCATTTTGGGGTGGTAGCTAACAAATATTAGAGACCTTGCAAAATCCCTTACATTAACTGGCTTAGTGGTTTTGAGATGGTCTCTAATGTGTAGGTTTCCAGAGCTGGAAGGCTAAGCTATCAAACCACTACCTTGCTCCATTTCCTTTTGTTCTACGATTATTTAAAATTCAGAAATCAAAATGGAGGGGATAGTGGGGGGAAATTTTCACAAACTCCTCCACTCCTTGGCTCCAGTTACAATAGAATTTTTTGGCAAGTCTTCTGCTGTTGCATTTTTACTGGTAATGGTGCTAGTGCACCTGTGCTTTTACCAAGTGTAATCTAAAACTGCTCAGAGCAGATCCAAACAAGATGCTGAAAAAGCCAGTAACTACCTGAGCCCTTCAAAAACTAATGACCTCATCAGTGCACAAGTGGAATATGCAACCATTCCTGACACTTTCACACGGGAAAAGGAAAGAATCTGAGTAGCACCTACATTCTTTCTGGATTTATTACTGATGTCGAAGACCAAATTTATTTATTCTAGACCACTGGAATCATGTTGACCATTCCACAGACTTATATCTTGTGTCCTTTTTACAATAAGATATATAGCAAACCGTATGTAGTCTAACATCAATTACTCTGGTAGCTCCAGTCCGAACAGGATGCTTGAAACGTTAATGCACCATGTGGTCTGAGCTTCAATAAATTTACAATAAATCTTGCATTCCAGATCAGGGCAAGCATCAGGTTTTTACATAATGGAGTGCTTATCCCGATCTGCAATGCAAGATGTATTGTAAAAAAGTGATCTTATATAAAATAACATCTTAAAAGGAAATGCATTACAATAGCAAGTCACCACTTTCACGATAGAAAACAGTCTGCATATCTTTAGGATTTCATTCTTGATCTGTAATATCTTCATTTTGTTTTAGCTGCGTTTTAGGTATTGGTAGTTCAAGGTTTGCCCATAACATGGGCTCTGCTTTCCTCATAGTGAGCTCAATCTTCGTAGCTGTCATGTTTACATAACTCCTCTTCACATCAATTACCTAGAACAGAACAAGTATGTTTCACTTAAATTTAGGAATAAGATTGTTGGAAATATGTAAACAATTACTATATGCTCAGCACGCATTATGGGAATTTTGCAATCTCCAAACGTTTGGGTCTGGCAACAGTATAGAATGGAATTTACCTAGGACAGTTCCATCCCCAAGTATCTGCAAAATTAAAAAAAGGAGTAAATCTGTAAAACATAGTTGCCCCAGAGGGAGAGATCAGCTTTTAAAGTGCAGTTTCCTCTGGGTTCTGGGGAAAGTTGTGCAGCATCAGCCCTTTCCTACACTCTAATCAATTATTTTTTGTCTAGGTCCAAATTTCTTGATCAAGCTATAGCCAAGGTCCAAACTCCAGAGAAAAATATAATAATTATTGTTATTATTTTTGTAATTAAGCCATTCAAAAGCATCTGGAAGTCCAGATTTGACTTGTGGTCCACCTATTAAGTATCCTTCCTCTAAGCTATGAAGAGAGAAATTGGCATGCATATGTATGCAGAATACAACTGTATGCATGCACAAGTTTGGCATATGAAATTACATGCAGCTATAATTGGAAAGGTCTGGCCCTAGAAATTTTTGGCAATACTCATATCGTAATTATGCTTAGACTGGTAAATCCTGCATAAAATGAACTTCTCTTGATAATCCAGACCTATAAAAGTGTGGTGGTTTTAGGGGGGGAAAAAAACTATTCTATTCTGAAAAAGCTATGGCTGAGGGTGAAACTGAGTAAGGCTTAACAAAACATTTGAGTTTACTATACTTACTCCCCACAATATCACATTGCGATCAAATTCTTTATCTCCTTCAAATATAATATGGATATTTAGCTAAATGAGAAAAAAATACAGAAGAGATTTATTAATGTCAATTGATTAAGTTTAAAATAAAAGTATGACATTAACACCCTAATTCTACATCACTGAAGTCACTAGGACTCTACACAAACAGAGGCCTGTGCAAATGGATCCTGATGCAGGATCAGGGCCAAGTGTGGCAACATGTTGTACCTGTAGAAGAAGGTATCAATGAAAATGCCGGTATTGGGCAATACAATTTTCCAAAGTGTGTTTACGGAATCACAAATTAGAATATTTCAATTGTAAAATCTGTGCAATAGCGCAGTTTCTGTGAAGCTACACATCCTAAAAGAGTCTGCTTGCTTTTAAAAAGATAGAATAAAAATGTAGAAAATATTTTGGTAGTTAAAAGAAGTTTACACAATTTTAAGTTTTGTAAAGATTTAAATTTAAGAAGTTTGACTAAAGGAACAAAAAGGCACAAAATGCTTAGGAACCTGCAAGTCTACTAAGACTGAAAAGGTCAAGAAGAATTATGTCTCACAGGAGAAGATTGTTACAGCATTTTACTTTTGTTTTCTTAAAAGAGCAAAGAGATTCTGTTTTAATATTTATGCACAAGAGTACATCCAAGCAACTTATATTATGCTATACTTAAACATCAAGTTTTAAAAAAATCAAATCTATTTAAAATAAAACAGATACTCACCATTGTGCTATTTGCTTCTACATGGCTAAGTTCAGGAAGTGAATTTTTCGCATATATTGAAATAGTCACTTCACCTCCAGTTTGATGCCAATCATGCCTACATGGAACTACTTTTTTCCCCTACAAAACAAAGGTGTATTTTGGAAAAATACAGTATTGGAACTCTACATTCAGGATACATTTTAAAAAAAACTGCTCTGAAAATTGTCATATAGGACAACATTTTAATGAGAATAAATATAACTAGAACAGGACTAAATTCTGCATTTAGATGTGTGCGCAGGAACCCTACTAATGTTAAGGAAAAACTACATAACGGTAAGTGTTTGAGAGCCCTCTCCCATCCTACAAATCAAGATTCCATTCAGAAAGGATTATAGCTCTACCTTCTAGGCAAAATAAAAAAATTTCAGTGGAGAAATCTCTTTCTTTAGCAAGGAGCCACTTCTTAGCTCTGTCATTTGACAAGCAGACTCGAAACTTTAATATTAGAGATAAGATGTATATAAAAAAAAGCAAGGATTATAGAAACAGGGGAGGAAAGTATGACAGGTGAAGAAAAACTATCTCGTATATAGTTTTGCATTGTCAAATATCTCCATCCTATAGCATTAGGGAGGCATCCCATCCAGCAAAATAGAAGTGACATGAACTAAAACTTTTCTAATAGATTAAGACCCCCATCCCTTTTATAGCCCCACTCTCTAGAAGTTCAGAGTCACACAGTCAGGGGAAAGAGGTGCAAGAGCATTCCAATGGAGACTACTACTAGAAAGCTCCACCAGTTCAAGCTACACTATTGGCATATCTCCTAGATCGGGAATGTATAGCGGCCAGCTGAAGAGGAATTTTTTATACTATCTATGAAGTACCCATTGTGCAAGGTGAGATGCTCAGATTCATACCCTTTCTAATGCTTGAAGGAAGTATTAGTGGGAATGAGAAAAATCTCACAGTAATTGACTGGACAGCTTGTTGTCTAAACTTGAAACAGGTAGTAAAAGGGCACTGGAGAGAGGGCTTCATATTACTGCTGCAACAAACAGGTCACAGAACACTCCGCAGTGGCCTCTGGTGGGAACAGTACAGAGAACGGGACAAGGGAAGGAAGGAGGAAAGCCACACATTAAAAAAAGGAGTGTCCAGGAAGGAGGAAAGATTAAATCCATTCAGTGGCATCGCAGAACAAACAAACAAAAAATCTCTTGGCTCCCTGAACCTGGTACTTTCAGTTCTAGACAGAAGGAAAGGAAACCAGACTCCCAACTCCTTTGCTAAAGAAAAAAAACCAGTTACCCAGGGAGAGATGGAATGTGGAAAGAGGTAGCAGGTGGGAAACAAACCAAGGTTTTCCCAGGGGCCCATCTTTCCTGTTTTGTGGGAGGGTGAAGTTAAAGAAGAGAAAGAGGATGCTAGACTTACACTTTGCTGGAAGAAAGAGGAAAGAAGTTTGAGCACAGCACTGCAGACCAGTGGACTGCAACATGGCTACCTTGAACTAGAGCATCTAGTACAGCTAATATACTGTGGTTGGCCCAGTGAGGCAGTTGCTAGGCTGTATGAAAGCATTAGGGACGGCATTTCAGCCACCTCCCCACAGCAGAGACCAGCCGGCTGGGAATACAGACTGCCCTGCAACACATGATTTTGCTACTAGCCCCACTGGGCTACGAGCCAGCTATTTTAGTAAGTTGCTACAACTAAAATTGAGGTTTTAAAACTTTTTCCTTTTCCACCCCCTGCATACACACTCAAGTCCTTCTACCCTCATTTTTCTAGAAAAACTGAGCAATACAGTTACTATCAGGAAGTGACAGAACTGACAAAGATTCTGTGTTCCCAAGAGATTAAATGGGCTTGGGGGGTGGGGGGTGGGAGGGAAATGACTAAGGGAAGAGAGAGCACCTAGCTATACCTCTTTTCTTCCTTTTAACAATGCTACATTTGCTGTATTGATCTTATTTTGTAGGTCAGAAGCGGAGACGATATTGACAATGGAGTTGTATATACACATCTAAGAGCAGAACATGACTGGATAGTATTATTTCTAGATTTGGAAGTGCTCAGCTACATTGTTTCAATGTAACACTCTAGTCTTGCAACATCCTCACACAACCTCTTTAACTATTACCATAAGTATTTTCCTTTGTTTTACAAGTCCAAACTAACCTGTCTGGTTTATTCGGAGCTCTGCTACGGAACAGCTATAAGCAAAAAGCACATTCTGTGTCCTAACATAAAAATAATCAAACCAAGCAATGCACTATGCTTTAGAGCAAAGAAAAACCCACTGTAAGAATGGCGTTTGGAAAAGATAGAAAAGTAATATTCCCACCAGTCCCAGCCCTAGAACACTCACTATTTCTGTGTGAATGAGATTTTGGAAAGCAAGATTATTTTAGTCTATTTAAATGTATTCTGTTCCTAGTTTTAGGAAGATGTTTCTCAAATTTTTTTGGGGCTCTTCGTTAGCGTATGCATAACATTTATAAGTGCTGGGTTGGAAAGTCTATCACCTAAAAAAGCCTTACAGAATTGTTTAGAAATGCGTACAAACAGTGGGTTTATTTTATTTTATTTCACAATTTATGGTTCAATAAAAGGTGTGGTTGTATACAGACAAGTACAGTGTTTCACTCAGATTAGTTTTAAGATCCATTATTAATCTCAAACTGCTCCCAACACTCATCAACACATATTAGAGAAATTGTATAATGGTGGAGGTAGGGGAATTATTATTCTTTGTTTAAATAAAGCTGCAATTCAGTCCACCACTATACTTTCTTAATGACTGGGAAGTTTAAGTAACCAACTACCAATGGCAAAGTTAGTACTACTTACAGCATCCTTTTTAGTCCACACGTGTGTTCCCGTCGTACAGCCTTCTTGAGACAAAAATGTATTAAAATCAGAAGTTTTTCTCTTACAACAGCTCCAATACTTCATCCTTTGAAGGAATTTCAAAAGAAAATAATTTAACAAGCCATAATTGAGGCGAAAATTGTGTCAGAAAGGTCATGGAAGTTACAGAATATATGATTTCCAGAGACCTCGGACATTTTCTGCTTCAGCTCCCAGTCACCACGGGAGATCCCTGGAGCTCGCAGACAGCAGGTGGACCTCAGAGCTCCCCATTTTGTCATTTTTTTTAAAGTAAAAAAAGTCAGGGACAGGTCACGGGATTCCATGAATTTTTGTTTATTGCCTGTGACGTGTCCATGACTTTCACTAAAATAACCTTAGCCATAATACATACACAAGTCAAATATTTAGAAACATTTATCACAATCCACAGTTTTAACAGTGTAAACGTCTTACCTTTTGAAAATAACCAACTGCATAAGTATTTATAAAAAATGATTATAGAGAATTTATGGAAGGAAATCCTATTAATTACATAATACTAACCCTTCGTGGAATATAGGTACTCCAGAATGGTATATACATATTTCCTCTGTGCTCTGTGGTCCTTCAAATGTCTGGTGAAATACAAAACTTTTTTAAAAAATGATCTCTCTCTTTTTAGGAAGTAAAAAATAAACTATTAAAACAAAACAATTAGCAAAACAGTTTGCGAACACTGACCAATATGTATTAATGCATTTTAAACAAACCAAAAATGGGCTTTCTTCCTCTGTGCTGCAAAATAAACTCAGACACATTCATTCCATCTTCATCAAAAGTGCCTCCCCACATCCACCTTAAAAGTATCCTTTATATTGACTCTGTGGGATATCAGGATACTATTGCTATTAGTACTCAAAGGCTAGTTTAACCTCTTCTTACAGAGAAATCCAGAACTATTCAACTCTGTTTTCACAAATGAACCAAGTGTGCTCATGTACACACACAGGTAATGAAGTAATATATCTGGCGCATTATTAAAAAACTGCAAGCTTAAAATGAGGTCATTCACCAATGAAAAAGTCACCAAAATGAAGCACCATAAAAGGAAGCAGCCCAATGTACTACGAGGTGCTTAGCAACACAAGGATCTATTAACTGAAATACCAGTCCCTCGTAATCCAATTGACAGGACTACTGCAATCCAGTGGAGAGGATCACAAACTCTTGTGCAACCACCACCCTCACCAGGTGACTCTCAATGATAAAGAACAAAGGATCCTTCAGACCTTGTGGTTGCTACAAATTTTTAGTTTGCATCCCTCCTGTTCAGTGGAAGGTTGTCAGGGGAAAAAGTGAGGTATGTCTACCCTGCAATTAAAGACACCTGTGGTTGGCCCACACCAGCTAAATTGGGCTCACAGGGTTCAGGCTAAGGGGCTGTTTAATTGCGGTGTAGACATTTTCTCAGACTGCACCCTAAACTCTGGGACCCTCCCACCTCACGGAATCCTAGAGGCCGGATTCCAGCCCAAATGTCTACACTGCAATTAAACAGCCCCTAAGCCTGAACCCAAGTCAGTTGGTATAGGCCAGCCACAGGTTTTTAATTGCAGTGTAGATGTGTCCTGAGACAATTTGGGTAGGACTGGAAGAATGGTTTCATGGTTGAAAATGTAAACTGTGGTTGCTTCCTTACTCAGCGTTCTTCAAAGAGTGTTTGATTAGTAGAAACAACGAGTCCAGTGGCACCTTAAAGTCTAACAGACTAGTAGGTACGGCATAGACTGCAGCAGAACTTCACTAGTTGCCAGGAGCAATTCCAAGTATTTATCAATAAAGCCCTTCAGTTTGGTACCACCTAACTCTGCCTAATTTTTAACTGCTGGAGTAAAGTATCAGAGATGCTGACACTGACAAACCCCTACTTTTTTTAATTTGGGGCCCAGAAACCTTAGTGATGGGCCTCAACTCTTGAGATTACTAACTCACTGGTCCAAAAGAATCTACATTTTGACCTTTTGAATAAGTTGAAAAGTATATCTATTTATTCAGACTTGTGGACCCTGTGTGGACTCTGAATTACTTTATAATGTGTTTTAAAATATTGACTTGTTCATGTTCTTAGGATTCTATAGTTACACTGTAAACAGAAGTAATAAAACAGCTATTTACCTTCAAACAGCCTCCATTTTTACACGACGTCCCAATTTTGATCTCATCACTGTCCTCTTCTGTAAAATGAAGGCATATAGATATCTTTAATATAAAAATGCCACTTTATAAATATCAAATATTTAGTTTACTTAAAGATAAAGTCTAGATTCTGACAGACCCTTCCATATGTCCATAGGTGGGAGGTGAAAGAGTACAAGGAGCATCCCTCATTTTCTGCACCCTACACAAAGGCCTGTCAGAAATGCATACAGAAATTACTTCCTATATATTCCCTAATGTGAGCAGAGATCAGATAGGACCATGACCCCAATACACTTTTGTATCTGCACACTGAGCTGGTGTGCTGAGGGAAGCATTGAGCACCACATAAGGGAGCACAGCAGAGGGTGCACTCGCCTTGCATGCTGGAATGTTCAGGGAGGAAGAACACAAGCAGTTCTGGAGGTTATTGGGAGTTGATGACTGCTCAGCACTTTAGGAAAAACACACACACAGGTGCCTTAATATGAACTCCTCTTTCTGAAAACTGTGACTATGTTGTATAGTGTGCTACCATATTAGAAATAATTACTTGATACAGGGCTATCCCAGAGTTTAAAACTCTCCAGTATTTAAATTAATAGTTTCTGTTGATAAATTAAAGGACTTTCTTCTTTACATTATATATCACATACATCCATTTTGGAGTCATTATGCAATGATTTAATCACAATAGATTTTTAAAACAGCCGAGACAGCAGTTCTAGGAGACATTATCTCGACAACTAGAACGTCTATGAATATTTTTTTTTTAGAAGGGCAAGGCCATTTCCCTTGGAAAGAGGGCTTTAGTTCTGGAGTAAACAATATGGGAACATCCACAAAGAGACCATACAATTTTAATTCCTAGATTCTAAGGCCAGAAGGGAGCATAGTGACCATCTAATCTGAACTCCTGTATAACAGGCCATAGAACTGCCCCAAAACAACTCCTAGAAACTATCATTTAAAAAGAAATCCAATCTTGATTATCTGGGTCTATCTATTTTCAATTACTTGGAATGTCTATTGTTCCAAGTGAAAACAGTTTTTCCATTGAAACTGTTTGGAAAAATAAGCCAGGGACAACATACCTAACTTCCTGAAGTAAGTAGTATACAATACACACCATTGACGGTTTGAATAAACTGCTTAAGGAAACATGTTTCTCTCCTGGTGTCAGTTTCAATTTAATTGCTGCCTTCTGTGGAACTAATTTGCTGGAATATGTGGTTCTTGAATACATTTGTAAAGTCATTAATTCTGAAACACTGGCATGTGAGACATTCTACCATTTATTTAAGGATATCGCAACAACTGCATCTTTGGCATCTCGTTCTGTTTTGTTACAGATTCCTACCTTTTTTTTCTTCTTCATTCTCTGATAGTTTCAGTTTATCTAGTGCTTGTTTCAGGGAAGCGGATACTTTCAGCTGTAAGCTTGTCATTGGCTCATCTGGGCTAAAATATTTAAATGCATTCACGTTATCTTGGTCAAAATAAATTATGTAGTAAGACAAAAGATACCTTTCAAACCTCTGCTGTGACAAGATTAGAATACGCGTCACCATCATTCTGACATAACAGGGGAGAAAAAAAGCCACCTCATTCAGCCACTACAAAATACCTTTCCCACAAAATAATTCCAGGGAAGAGAATGAAGTCTTATGAAATTGTACAATTGATGATGGCAACCTGGCTGAGTCTTAATTCAGTCAAGATGTTAGTGGGTTGGGAAAATCAAGTAGAAGAGTTGGCAAGGCAATATCTGTACTCTAGGTTGAGGGACTTCATCTGCTACATGTGACTCAGATTCCCGATCTTGGCGTTTTTTAAGAGCCAGGGCTACACTCAGAAGATCACACAGCAGCTGTACCCTAAAAGACGTTTTCAGAACACTGCTACAAAGATAATTTACCCAGGCCATCGCTTTGGCCATGTCACTCCCTCTTTGAATCTCTCCACTGGCTCCCCCTTCTCTATCGCATCTAACAAAAGCTGCATGTCTTCATTTTCAAGGCCCTGCATGACCTCTGCCCACTCTCTCATTCAATAATGAGATGCTGACTCCTCCCTCCAATAGGTGCATGAGGCCATCCTCCATTAGCAGACTGAAAATTTTCAGACAAAACCTTCATGCTTTCTCCCATGCTGTCCCTCATGCTTGAGGAATTCCCTGTAAACATCTGCAGGGCTACTTCATTAGACTCCTTAAAACTCTCCTTTGCCATAATGCCTACAAAAACGTAACAGTTAAACCACTAGTGTGCTGAGACCACTGCTTATGCTAACACATTAGCTCACGGTTTCCTTGTACTTCCCTATCTGGCTGTATTCCTATATTGTCTTGTCTTACACTTAGATTATAAGATCTTTGGCGCACGGTCTGTCTTTTTGTTCTGTGTTGTACAGTGCCTAGCACAATGGGGTTTTGTTCCTTCTCTATGGCTCCTAGGCACTATGATAACATTTATTATTATTTGTATTATCTGTCACCTTATCTACAAGGAAGCATCTTAAAACAGAACAGTTGAAACCCAAGAGTAGACACAGCCCATATTTTAATCACAGGCATTAAGGAACCTGTGGTGAAAGTTAAGAGTGATTTAAATAAAAGTCACATTATCTGATTTGGCAGAGTGGCTTTACCTCTTGGGGCACAATGCTAAATTGACAAATTTTAATAACGTATGTGTTTAATTTATCATTGTGTGTTTTCAGGGCTGATTAAAGTTAAGAAATAAATAAAAATTGTATATTCCAGTAAGAATACCACAATACATCAATATAGCTCTGTTATCAGTACTCTTGACCACAAAGTTCCACACTAGAACTTTGATTCCTATACAATGACAACACTGAGGGGTTCTGTACTATGTTTCTGTTCTTCAGGGAAGATGCTACCCAAGGTCCCTTTATGTCCATATTTCAGGCAAGTCCAGATCAAAATTAGAAATAACTTCAATATTGTTGCCAATTATCCTATCAAGACATCTAAAACAGCGTACAAGCTATTCTCAAGTACACAATGGTCATTCGATTTGCCTATGCTTCCACAGCATGTAACTAAATACTTTGAATTAATTCACATAAGAGATGCCATATAAAAACAAAAGCTGTAATTTAAATATGGTCATTGCTAGGTTTGAAAAAAATGTCTGACTTAATAAATTAATGTCCACTTGAAAATTATGTAATATATAATGAAGAGTCAGAATATCTATTTTAAGATCTAATGCTACTTCATCATCATCATAGTACCTTCCAAATAAAATCAATAGCAATAACCAAAACAAGTTCTAAGTTAACCACTGAAAACAAATTTGGCACAAATGCCAGTTCAATATAACGTACCTTGGCCTATTAATGGTTTCCACTGGCTTTGGTGCCCGAATTATATGCTCCTGAAATTTAGGTTTCAGTTCAGCTAGCTCCTTTCGCTCAGAGGTAGTTTTGATTTCAGGTTTCACAGGCTCAGGGGGTTTCTCACTATTATGGAGACCCTTTGTACAGCCCTGTTGTAGATGACATAGAAACATATGTGGAAAAACAAAACACTTCATGTGCAAAATCCAAAACCAAACTATTATCCAAGTTTAATGAATTAATGCATTTTGATTCTTCACCCGCATCCTTTGCTCAGTTCTAGTGACTGATTTGCAACAAATGCTATAACTGAAGTTGAAAAATGACATCCGTGTCTCTTGGTTTTCAGATATATAGACAAACAAACTTTCTGGAACACTTAAATGAAGTGTTCTATGCTTGTTAAGAGGCTTTTTTTTTTTTTTTTTTTAAAGTTTGAGCAAAATCTCTTTAGTTGTTTATGATTTAGACCAGTGGTTCTCAAACTTTTTTTTCCCCCCACAGACCACTTGAAAATTGCTGAGGGTCTAGGCGAACCGCTTAATGATCTTTCCAAATGTTGTTTGTACCATTAGCTAACTATTGTAAAGCGTTTTGGATAAAAGCGCTATAGTAAAAAAAACAACAACTTTTTTTTGTTCTAAAAATAAAAGCACACAACTCATATTTTAATATCAGTAGTCTTACCTTTCTAATGTGATGGATGTGCCCTCTCTCCCAGGTCATAGCAGCCCCGGAGCTAGGGCTGGGAAGGAGAGGGGTTTCTCCCTCTCTCCCCTGCTGCGGCAGCCCCTTGAGCTAGGGCTGGGAAGGAGGGCTGTCTCTCCCTGGCCGCCACAGCCCTGGAGCTGGGGAAAGTAACCTCTTTCTCTGGCCGCCGCAGCCCTGCATGTCCCATATTCACCCCACCCCATCTTCTCATCCCACTGCCCCCTCCAACCTGCGCCCTATGGCCACCACTGCACCTGTGCGCCTTCTCCAGGGTCCAGGCACCTAATTAGTGGAGCCACGCTTGCGCGGCTCCACTAATTCAGGTGGGTGGCCCTTCATTCTCTTGTGTGTAGCCACCCAGGTGCGCACCTTGGAGGGAACTATCCATGGACCACCTGAATGGAGCTCGCGGACCACTGGTGGTCTGTGGACCACAGTTTAAAAACCTCTGATTTAGACAAATGAGTGTAAAAACACCTCCTTTCTTTTCGTGGCCTCATAGTTTTACAATATTATAAGCACATTTTGACAGAACCAATTAAATTGCTGAAGTTTAGAAATTGAAACTTAACATCTAAGTAGTCTACAAGGAGAAATAGTGAAGCAAGGCACTCTGATTCAAAATGATTTTGGTTTAACAAGATGTATCCATTTAAAATTTGCTTAATGTAACATCTAATTCTATGATTTTTTGATACTGTAACAGATTTAAAAAAATCACCAATACATACCGCAATGCTTAAGAAGTCAGAGAAGTCTGTTGTTCTTCTCTTACAACATGACCAGCCCTATAAATTTGGAATAAAATAATGAGACAGATGCAAACACCCCACTCAGTAATCTTATTAGAAGCAAAAGGTTAGTGATAATTCTTTCCAGCACATGCTACTTTATAGTCTTAACACTCTCCTCTCCCTTGGACATTACTGATCATCTCTGTATTTTTGAAAATGTAAAGATTTCTACAGCTGCTATTACTAGTCAACATTTGCTGATGTCATCATAAAGCACCATCAAAACTTACTGAAACAATACTCCTATTCTGTGCAAGGTTCTGATTCAATATGAAAAAACAGGCAAACAAACACAGTTGATAAAATAATTTAACTAAAATAAATCTCTCTGAGGTTGAGTTCACCTGCTAATGTTATGGACACAGTCTCTATTTTCAAGAGCAATATAGCATGGTCAGAAATTTCTTCCTTATCTTTGGAGAGTCATAAATCTATTTTATGTTAGTCTCATTCATTCCCCATTGTCCAGTGTCATCTTTGCCTTAGGCAGTCATCTGCTCAAATTAGGTCAACTCAAAACCAACATTTATTATATCAAATGAAACAGTCCTGATGCTAGAGAAACAGATCTTACTGCACCACACAAAACAACTTATCTGGAAACTCAAAGAACCTTTAATTTGGTATTAAAAAAGATATTTTGACTAACAATGTATTTCTGCAGCAGATTAAAAGATGATGATGGGAAACGCTTTCTTTCTTTGAAATAGGGAGCATTATTTTGCAGTGTTTCCTCTCAACATTCATCCCTTACACAGCCAATATATTGTGAACAGTAAGACAGTATTTATTGGTTAGCTTATTTGGGACACATATTAGAAGGAAAGTTATACCTAATGGGACTCACTATAAATGAAGGGAGGAGAAAAAAGGGAGGTAGAATATGGTTTTTTGTAACAAGTGCTGACTTAATTTTTTTTTTTATTAAAGCTAATGTTAAAATTATTTAATACACAGGTTAAAGAAAAAAGTGTCTATACATCTATAATGCTTAAATTATACAAAAGTATAAAGTTTGGTTTAAAAATAATAAAATACATATAGTACATAATCTGCAATATCCCAAATTGAGGTTAATAAATTTAACAATACAGTTAAAATATTAGCATCCAAACATTCGGGTACATCACTCGTAGCTTGTGGAAAGCAAATATATCAATGAGTGTAGGTTGACCCTCACTAATTGAGAATTTAGGATAGGTTGTCTCTTAGTAAATACTCTGGATATTATTTCTGTCTAAAATTCTGGTATTCAGCTTCTGCCAATCTATTTTTCAACAGCTATTCACAGCCAGCTAATAAGCTGTGCTGCTCACTCCTATCATTACCAAGGAAGTGTTATCTTGGGCATGTCTATCCTCTCAATCACAGCCATTTCTTATGATGCCTCAGCACAAAATTGGAAAAGAGGAAGGTTTTGAGGAAATTACACTCCTCCACCTTCTGGCTTCTCCTCACTGGAGAACTACTGCTTCTCACCTCTTCCTTATAGCAAGCTGATGCCAGACAGTCTCTTTTCAAATCCTCTCTCACACTGTATAATCATTCACAAATTCATGAACCTTACAGGTTTGAGATGTTCTTATTATGACTTTTTTCATTCCTTATTTCTTGCAATCAATATTTTAACTAAAAGGAGTACTTGTGGCACCTTAGAGACTAACCAATTTATTTGAGCATAACCTTTCGTGAGCTACAGCTCACTTCATCGGGTGCATAAAAGTGGAAAATGCAGTGAGGATGTTTTTATACACACAGATCATGAAAAAATGGGTGTTTATCACTTCAAAAGGTTTTCTCTCCCCCCACCCCACTCTCCTGCTGGTATTAGCTTATCTAAAGTGATCACTCTCCTTACAGTGTGTATGATAATCAAGGTGGGCCACTTCCAGCACAAATCCAGGGTTTAACAAGAACGTCTGAGGAACTGGGGGAGGGGGAGGTTGGAAAAAACAAGGGGAAATAGGTTACCGTGCATAATGACTTAGCCACTCCCAGTCTCTATTCAAGCCTAAGTTAATTGTATCCAATTTGCAAATGAATTCCAATTCAGCAGTCTCTCCCTGGAGTCTGGTTTTGAAGTTTTTCTGTTGTAATATCGCAACTTTCATGTCTGTAATCACGTGACCAGAGAGACTGAAATGTTCTCCGACTGGTTTATGTTATAATTCTTGACATCTGATTTGTGTCCATTTATTCTTTTACGTAGAGACTGTCCAGTTTGACCAATGTACATGGCAGAGGGGCATTCCTTGAAGTGAAGTGAGCTGTAGCTCACGAAAGCTTATGCTTAAATAAATTGGTTAGTCTCTAAGGTGCCACAAGTACTCCTTTTCTTTTTGCGAATACAGACTAACACGGCTGCTACTCTGAAACCTGTCAATATTTTAACTATCATTTTGCCACTTTCAAACTTCACATTAACTTCGTTTAGAGTCAGACAGGCAGAATTCCTTAATGAAGACCTTGTCCTTTATATAAGCCAAGAATTCTCAGATTTTTCCACATAGTATCTCCATGGCAACAACACTAATTGCTTACCTGGGCAAATAAAAACATTTAATATATTTTGGCTGTCTTAATGAAATTTAACTTCCAAAATTGAGGAGAATCAACACCATGTGACCAGCCTGGTTCTTGCAGGCCATCAACAAATGCTTGCTGGACCACCAATGATCCACAGATCACAGTTAAGAACTGCTGGTATAAACAAGAGACTACTGAGAAAAAGGTCTAACCTTTCCAAAGCCTATTAGTCAGTTTTTGAGCAACATAACTTTCTTTAAAAATGCAAAAAGAATACAAAGAATAACAAACTTTAAATTATGTGTACTGAAATTCTAAAATGTCTATAATCGAAAACAGTTCTACATGCCGTGCTTTTTACCTGGCTGTGGTAAGGCAATACTTTTTCACAAAACGATATAGGATATGTAATGCTTAAACAACATGCTCAGTTTGAGAAGAAAAATAGAAAAATAATAATCACCTGCTGCAGTGAGTGGCCAAACAATGTACCTGTTATTTATTGCTTGAGTCTAGCCAATATTCAGTTTCTTTTTCAACTTTGTATAAATGCCATTTCCAGTGGGTTTTGGTTGAATTCCAGAGATAGGACATTTGCTACATCATTGACTGAGTTGGCGCACAGCATTACTGATACAAAGACACACTACCTAAGGATTTAAAGAATCTTTCACTATCTATATCCTGGCATACCCACCTTTAGAGCATCATGAAAGACTGGTACACCTGGATGATATGTGCATGAATCTGAAAGAAAAGAAAAATGCAGTTGTCATAAATATAAAGGGAAGGGTAAACCCCTTTGAAATCCCTCCTGGCCAGGGGAAAGCTCCTCTCACCTGTAAAGGGTTAAGAAGCTAAAGGTAACCTCGCTGGCACCTGACCAAAATGACCAATGAGGAGACAAGATACTTTCAAAAGCTGGGAGGAGGGAGAGAAACAAAGGGTCTGTGTGTCTGTCTTTGCCCGGGATAGACCAGGAATGGAGTCTTAGAACTTTTAGTAAGTAATCTAGCTAGGCATGTGTTAGATTATGATTTCTTTAAATGGCTGAGAAAAGAATTGTGCTGAATAGAATAACTAATTCTGTCTGTGTATCTTTTTTGTAACTTAAGGTTTTGCCTAGAGGGGTTCTCTATGTTTTTGAATCTAAATTACCCTGTAAGATATCTACCATCCTGATTTTACAGGGGGGATTTCTTTATTTCTATTTACTTCTATTTTTATTAAAAGTCTTCTTGTAAGAAAACTGAATGCTTTTTCATTGTTCTCACATCCAAGGGTTTGGGTCTGTGGTCACCTATGCAAATTGGTGAGGCTTTTTATCCAACATTTCCCAGGAAAGGGGGGGGTGCAAGTGTTGGGAGGATTGTTCATTGTTCTTAAGATCCAAGGGTCTGGGTCTGTAGTCACCTAGGCAAATTGGTGAGGCTTTTTACCAAACCTTGTCCAGGAAGTGGGGTGCAAGGTTTTGGGAAGTATTTTGGGGGGAAAGACGCGTCCAAACAGCTCTTCCCCAGTAACCAGTATTAGTTTGGTGGTGGTAGTGGCCAATCCAAGGCAACGGGTGGAATATTTTGTACCTTGGGGAAGTTTTGACCTAAGCTGGTAAAGATAAGCTTAGGAGGTTTTTCATGCAGGTCCCCACATTTGTACCCTAGAGTTCAGAGTGGGGGAGGAACCTTGACAGCAGTACTAAATGAAAATGTAATTAAATGAACCCCAAACCCCTGCAACTATTAATCTAAACAGAATTACAGCCAGAGCTCCACACATTTGAATCTCACATTGCACATGAGCTCAACCTTCCACCCCTTTCCCATCACTCTTTGAAGAGCAAGCACTCAGAGTATATATGGAGCCACATACAGCCTATTTATTAAACTAAGTTTTTTAAGGTAGAAACTTTTTTTTTTTGGCCATATACACCACAGTGTACAATAGAAGCACACAAATAAAATTACCCTTACTACATTTACCATGGGATCTTTTGGGGACCATGATCAGCATCATATAGAGCTAACCTTAACTGGTATCCCAGTAGAAACACAGACAAATGTCAGCCTGGTCCATTTGAAGGGCACTGATACAAAATGGAGTTGAGTAACACCCAACACAACTATTTACAGTTGTTTGAGAGATGGATTCAAGCCTCCTAAGCCAAAGGCACCTAAGGTTCTACACTGCCTTAATTATCTGGTGTTCACAAACTTGATTAAAGAAGATTGCAAAGCATGCCATATAGCCAAAGACTCAATGAACTCCATCTGTTTAGCTTAACAAAGAGAAAGTTAAGAGGTGGCATGATCACAATCTGTAAGTACTCAGGTAGGGAAGAGATATTTGATAATAGAAAGCTCTTTAAGCTGGCAGAATCATTGGGAAGCTACTGAAACTGAAATGATAGTGTGCTCAATTTACATCAAGTATATTTCACCCAATATTGTATTCCTAAGATAAGGAAAAAATGCAATCCAAGAGCTCCAATTTGCAAAGCATTCTGCTGCATGCCTAATGCAACAGATTTAATTACTTGTTTCATGTACACACACACGATACAATATCTGGCAATATTTTTAAGAATCTGTAATATACTCATATACCCTTACAAAAAAAGGGAAATAATTTACTGCAGGTTCAAGGCCTCAGACTTACACCTGTAAAGGTAAATGCCCAATAGTTTGGATCACAGTTTATTAGGCAGTAGCAGACCACTCTAACCTTACACTGCTCTACTATAGTGCTTTGACCATGTTAGTGTTCACTGGGTGATTCAGTATCCATGGATTTTCCAGGCTTTCTCCATTTGGTGGGGCACACCCATCTCCTCCAGCAGTGGTTTTCAACTGGGGTATACGTACGCAGATATCTTCTGGGGGTACTCAACTCATCTAGATCAGCATTTCTGAACCTGGGATTTGCAGCCCCCAGAGGGAGTCACGGGATGGGTTATGGGGGATTGCAAGTGCAGGGCTGGCATTGGGGGGATGGCAAGTAGGGCATCTGCCCAGGGTGCCACACCACAGGGGACCCCATGAAGCTAACTTACATGCTTCCGCCACGTGACCTGGGCCTCAGGCTTCAGACAAAGTTCACAAGTGAAAAACAGGCTCAAGTATCACATTGAAATGTAAGTACAATATTTATATTCCAATTGATTTATTTTATAATTATACGGTAAAAATGAGAAAGTAAGTTGTCAAGGTTCCTCACCCACTCTGAACTCTAGGGTACAGATGTGGGGACCTGCATGAAAAACCTCCTAAGCTTATCTTTACCAGCTTAGGTCAAAACTTCCCCAAGGTACAAAATATTCCACCCGTTGTCCTTGGACTGGCCGCTACCACCACCAAACTAATACTGGTTACTGGGGAAGAGCTGTTTGGACGCGTCCTTCCCCCCAAAATACTTCCCAAAACCTTGCACCCCACTTCCTGGACAAGGTTTGGTAAAAAGCCTCACCAATTTGCCTAGGTGACTACAGACCCAGACCCTTGGATCTTAAGAACAATGAACAATCCTCCCAACACTTGCACCCCCCCTTTCCTGGGAAATGTTGGATAAAAAGCCTCACCAATTTGCATAGGTGACCACAGACCCAAACCCTTGGATGTGAGAACAATGAAAAAGCATTCAGTTCCTTACAAGAAGACTTTTAATAAAAATAGAAGTAAATAGAAATGAAGAAATCCCCCCTGTAAAATCAGGATGGTAGATATCTTACAGGGTAATTAGATTAAAAAACATAGAGAACCCCTCTAGGCAAAACCTTAAGTTACAAAAAAGATACACAGACAGAAATAGTTATTCTATTCAGCACAATTCTTTTCTCAGCCATTTAAAGAAATCATAATCTAACACATACCTAGCTAGATTACTTACTAAAAGTTCTAAGACTCCATTCCTGGTCTATCCCGGGCAAAGACAGACACACAGACCCTTTGTTTCTCTCCCTCCTCCCAGCTTTTGAAAGTATCTTGTCTCCTCATTGGTCATTTTGGTCAGGTGCCAGCGAGGTTACCTTTAGCTTCTTAACCCTTTACAGGTGAGAGGAGCTTTCCCCTGGCCAGGAGGGATTTCAAAGGGGTTTACCCTTCCCTTTATATTTATGACGTAAGTAATTTTTCACTAATAGTGTGCTGTGACACTTTTGTATTTTCATATCCGATTTTGTAAGCAAGTATTTAAGTGAGGTGACACTTGGGATATGCAAGACAAATCAGACTCCTAAAAGGGCTACTCCTAAAAGGGCTACAGTAGTCTGGAAAGGTTGAGCACCACTGACCTCCAGTACTGCTGGCAGCCCCTTAATTCATAACTAAGGATATGATTTTGTCATGGATTCTGTGACTCCTCAGTGACTTCTTCAGCTGGGTGCCCAGGGCCCCCAGAGCGGTCAGCTGCTGGGGGCTGGATTCCCCTGTCCCACCCCGCGGCAGGGTTCTAGCTGTTAGTCCTGCCCAGCAGTCAGCCCCCATTATTTTTAGTAAAAGTCAGAGCTTCCATGAATTTCTGTTTATTGCCTGCAACTGTCCATGACTTTTTCTAAAAATAACAGACAAAATCTTAACCTTAATCAAAACATAAAGCATCTGTTTCCCTCACTGGACAAATGTGAAAATGGACAAACAGAACCAGTTCCAAGTCTGTGTCCTTGAAGCCAAAGTGTTCATATCCCATGAACTAGCTAGAGTCAGCATGTATCCTTCGCTTTGTTCCAGCTCAGGACATCACTGATTAAAGAAACACAAGGATATGATCAGGCCATGTGTAGAACCGGCTTACCACTTGTTACCTGTGGGTATGTCTACACTGCAATTATACACTGTTGTAGCCCAGTTGGTCCTAGTTATATTAGAGAAACAAGGTGGGTGAGCCCCTGCCTTAGAATTATAGGACTGGAAGGGACCTTGAGAAGTCATCTCGTCCAGTCCCCTGCACTCATGACAGGACTAAGTATTATCTACCATCCCTGACAGGTGCTTGTCTAACCTGCTCTTAAAAATCTCCCATGACAGAGATTATACAACCTCCCTGGGCAATTTATTCCAGTGCTTAACCACCCTGACAGTTAAGAAGTTGTTCCTAATGTCCAACCTAAACCTGCCTTCTCTGCCTTCACAGTCTTCTCTTCTCCAGACTAAACAAACCCAATTTTTTCAATCTTTCCTCATTTTTCAATCTTTTCTAGACCTTTAATCATTTTTGCTGCTCTCCACATTGTTCCTGAAATGTATAGCCCAGACCTGGACAATACTCCAGTTGAGGCCGAATCAGCATGGAGTAGAGCGAAAGAATTACTTCTTGTGTCTTGCTTACACCACTCCTGCTAATACATCCTAGAATGGCATTTGTTGCAAAAAACAAAAACAAAACCCCAAGTGTTAAGCTCTTCACTGATACTTAGCTTGTGATCCACTATGACCCCCAGATCCCTTTCCACAGTACTCTTTCCTAGGTAGTCATTTCCCATTTTGTACATGTGTAACTGCCTGTTCCTTCCTAAGTGGAGTACTTTGCATTTGTCCTCACTGAATTTCGTCCTATTTTCTTCAGACCATTTTGCCAGTTTGTCCATCATTTTGAATTATAATCCTATCCTCCAAAGTATCCTCCCGCTTGGTATCATCCACAAACTTTATAAGTGTACTTACTATGCCATTAACTAACGGCAAGTCTACACCACAGCGCTACATTGGCACAGCTGCACTGTCCACATGAGCAGTTTAAAGCCCTCCCCCCACCCCGAGCCAGCAAGTTAGAGCACTATAAAATGTAAGTGTAGACAAGCCCTAAGTAATTTTTAACTTGTTCTTTCCCTATTTTAGCCTCTGATTCTACCTCATTTCCACTGGAATTCACTATGTTAGACGTTCAATCGCTATTAGACCCTTTTGGTGAAAACTGAAACAAAAAGATCATTTAGAACTTCTGTCATTTCCACATGTTCTGTTATTGCTTTCCCCCTGGTTATTAAGTAATGGACCTACCCTGTCTTTGGTCTTCCTCCTAATGTATCTGTCAAATGTTTTCTTGTTATCCTTTATGTCACTAACTAGTTTAACCTTGTTCTGTGCCTTGGCCTTTTTAACTTTGTCCCTACAGACTTGTGTTATTGGTCTTCCCTCCCCCGCCCCAGCTCCCCCTTCCCAATATCAGCACATCCCTCCCCCTTGCTTACCAGGCTCCCCCCAATCAATGCAGGTCCCCCTGCTTACCAGGCTCCCCTAATAAACAGCACCCCCCTTAACAGGCTCACCCTGACCACCCTCCCCCAAACCAGCGCAGCCCCCGCTTCCCTCCCCCCCCGCAGGTTCCCCCCCAAACAGCGCAGCCCCCGCTTCCCTCCCCCCCCGCAGGTTCCCCCCCAAACAGCGCAGCCCCCGCTTCCCTCCCCCCCCGCAGGTTCCCCCCCCAAACAGCGCAGCCCCCGCTTCCCCTCCCCCCCAAACAGCGCAGCCCGTTCCCCCAGCCAGCCCCCTTCAGCGCAGCCCGTTCCCCCAGCCAGCCCCCCTTCAGCGCAGCCCGTTCCCCCAGCCAGCCCCCTTCAGCGCAGCCCGTTCCCCCAGCCAGCCCCCCCTTCAGCGCAGCCCGCCTCCCGGAACCCAACAGGACCCGGCCACCCCCCTTTAAGACCTCAAGCCAGGCGCCCCCAGGTGCGCAGCCGCCCCCGGCCCCGGCTCGTACCCTCCGCGTTGGTGCTGGGGTCGAAGCGCTGGCCGCAGCCCCGGTTGTAGCAGAGCTGGGACATGGCGCGGGGAGCTGCAGAGCCGGTACCCGCAGCCCCGGAGCCGGCAACAGCAACGAGCCGGGAGACAGGAAGCGGCAGCGCAGCAGACGAAGCCTCCGCCTCGCTCTCGAGTCTCTCCGGAAAGAGCCGAGCGGAACCTTCGGAAACCTTCGCGAAATTTCGGGACAAAACGAGAAGCCCCTGGAGTTTCGCGCACGCGTAGTAGCTCGGGGACGGGCGAAGGGCGGGCTCTGGGAGGGGAGCGCAGGCGCAGCAGGTGTATTATATAGAAGTTAAGGGGTGGGGCAGAGAAGAGTGGCCAGAGGGAGGGGCTAGGAAGAGGGGAGGAGTTTCCGGCGAGGACAAGTGCGCAGGCGCGACGTGTAGCAGCGGAGGGAATGAAGTGGGTACGGTTTCCCGAAGGAAGGAGGCGGAGCTTCGAAAGGCTTCGACGGGGCATTCTAAAGGGAGGGGCTAGAACTGGAAGAGAAAGGAGGAGAACGAGCTAGACAGGACGGGACAAAGAGCGCATGCGCAATGAGAACACTGGCTAGGGCGGGGAGGAGCGTTTCAAAGGGGGTCGGAAGGAAGATTTCTAGGAGACTGCAACACGGTGGCGGGGGCGGGCAGGAGAGGAGGGGGGTAATTAAGACATTGAGGGGGCGCTGAATACAGCCCCCTGTCCTGCTAACAGCCCCGGGCAGCTGCTCTCCCTGGCTTGGGAAAGTAGCCTTGCCCCCCCACTCCCTGGCCGGCTCACCCGGCTGGCGGGACAGGCAGCGGAGGAAGTCAAGGGGAGAAGGGGAGTAGCAGAGGGGGAGAAGGAAAGCTGGGGGCAGAGCCTATGAAAGGTTTCAAATGGCCATCAGCTCAAAATGATGATACTAAACGGATGATACTAAACTGGGAGGAGTGGTAGATACGCTGGAGGGGAGGGATAGGATACAGAGGGACCTAGACAAATTGGAGGATTGGGCCAAAAGAAATCTGATGAGGTTCAATAAGGATAAGTGCAGGGTCCTGCACTTAGGACGGAAGAACCCAATGCACAGCTACAGACTAGGGACCGAATGGCTAGGCAGCAGTTCTGCGGAAAAGGACCTAGGGGTGACAGTGGACGAGAAGCTGGATATGAGTCAGCAGTGTGCCCTTGTTGCCAAGAAGGCCAATGGCATTTTGGGATGTATAAGTAGGGGCATAGCGAGCAGATCGAGGGACGTGATCGTTCCCCTCTATTCGACATTGGTGAGGCCTCATCTGGAGTACTGTGTCCAGTTTTGGGCCCCACACTTCAAGAAGGATGTGGATAAATTGGAGAGAGTCCAGCGAAGGGCAACAAAAATGATTAGGGGACTGGAACACATGAGTTATGAGGAGAGGCTGAGGGAGCTGGGATTGTTTAGCCTGCAGAAGAGAAGAATGAGGGGGATTTGATAGCTGCTTTCAACTACCTGAAAGGGGGTTCCAAAGAGGATGGCTCTAGACTGTTCTCAATGGTAGCAGATGACAGAACGAGGAGTAATGGTCTCAAGTTGCAGTGGGGGAGGTTTAGATTGGATATTAGGAAAAACTTTTTCACTAAGAGGGTGGTGAAACACTGGAATGCGTTACCTAGGGAGGTGGTAGAATCTCCTTCCTTAGAGGTTTTTAAGGTCAGGCTTGACAAAGCCCTGGCTGGGATGATTTAACTGGGAATTGGTCCTGCTTTGAGCAGGGGGTTGGACTAGATGACCTTCTGGGGTCCCTTCCAACCCTGATATTCTATGATTCTATGATTCTAAAACAAGACTTAAGTACTGTAGGAGGAGCCAGCTCATAATAGAGACAGACCTAACTCATAGATGGCTGTACCCAGAGGGCCAGATTCTGTAATAAAGTAGAGCCCTGCCCATTAGGCTTTTCCTCTAGGCTTTTAAAGATCCCGTGGCCCTGTTGCAACCAGTTGCTGCCTGCCAAAATTTAAAAAATTCTGCAAATCTACAAAGCAGCATTTGTAGAACAGTTAAATCCATTCCAAGGGGTACAGGTTTTAAAGCAGAGTACAAAGTCTGTGTCACTTAACTGGTTATGTTTAAGTTCATGCATTTGAAATTCAAAGTTACATCTTTGAATTGCTACAACAGAACAAAAACATTCTCAAGAGGATCACTGGCTACTTTTTCATGTAGTTCACAAGAAGCGTAGGACACCAGCTTTTAAGACACATGCAGTGATCGACTATATACACAAGCATAGAGTCATTATTTGCAAATGGGTTAATAGATCATGGCATTTCCCTTTCATTGTTTCAAAAAAACACACATCCTATGGCTGGAGGGAATTTCAGTTACATTCATATCCAGTTCCCTCTAAACAATTCTAATTCCACTGTTTTCCATTTTTGATTATCTTTTGCTACCCACACTCTATGATTTACGGGCTCCATCACAGTCTGATTAATATTGAGGCCAAAAGCTGTAATGGGGGAAACCATGTTATTTCTCCCCCGACATGAGCATAACAAAGACTGTGATTTCTTCTGACTCCTTGCTATCAGTGAAATTTACCTTTTTTCCATCAGGACTGTAACTCCCTTTCAGTTTGGGTAGAATTTTACCAAATAATGCTTATAATAATAATAATACCCCACTCGTCCCATCATGGATCATATATTTTGCCACATCAATTATCCACACGTGCATTTGCATACATGTCAAAGAAACATTAATTTAAAGGGTGACAGTGATCTTTTTCTTGGGATTGCTCCCACTCTTCTAGAATACGTGCCACCTGGTAGCACAGAGAGCTTAATTGGTCGAATGATACCTTGGTAAGTATAGTAGCTAAATCTTTTATATGAGCTCCCAATGCATTTGCCAGCACTTCCTCATCAATACTGTTAAGGACTGCTCCTCCCATTCCAAGTGCTTCTCATTGGTTCCCCTTTACCTTCCTACATCCCCCACCCGAGATTTTCAGTTTTGGGATATAATGTAAATTCCACTCAGTTTTTCCAACCTTAAAATTAGGGTGGGACAAATTGCTCAAACCAGTGGTTTTCTTACTGAGATATTTGTTAAGCTCAGGTCTAGATTGACCTTTTTTGAGGGAGTGGGTGGGGTTGATTACCAATTGTTTTTTGATGTTGGTTCGGACAACATAGATCCCAATTAAGTTGGTGACTGGGGACTCCATGACCCAAAAGTTGCAACTTTTTACCCTATGGGGCCCCTGTAGAAGCCATTTCCCCATCAAGTTAGGCTGCATGTTAATAACATCCTTATGAGCACACCAGGCCACTCCCTGCACTGTGGAAAGTCCTCTGAAGGAGGCCACTAGGTCTTGATGGAACAGGGCAAGAGGATCTGCCATTCCGCTCCTGGTGTGACTATTTGCAGTTCTATCTTTTCCAAATTTGTCTGCTTGTCAATTACGGTGGTGGCATATTCTAATTTAAATTGGACTGTTTTGTTTCCAGGGGCTGCTTTCTCAGGCAGGTCAGTCCACAACTGAGCACATTTTGGCTTAGTCTGGCTGCAATTGTATAACAGCCAGTCTGTTCCCACCCAGCGACAACCTAGTCTCCTATTTGGGCTCCATGGATAAACCTCAATTACCCCACCACCAAATCTCTCCCAAGTCTAGGGGGTATCTGTGAATGCATGAGGATGGTGATGTTTCTGCCCATCATTCTAGGATTCTGTAGCTGCCACAGTACATTATCATTCACAGTCCAAATTCTATGCACTTTGAGGTCCCACTTTGATGTTTATTCTATCCAGGCCTTTTAAACTCAAGTGGGGTAATATCCATTCAAAGGGCCTGTTGGAGACCCCAGGGCATGGCCACTAGTTAAGTTGAGGGGATGGAAGGCCATAAGGGTCGAGGAGGTCTCCCTGCTGAAGGCCTAAGGGCTTCTTCTCAACCCCCCTTAATAGAATTCAGGCCTGGCTGGTTTGAGTAAGCTCTTTTGCTCTTAAAACAATGTTGCAGCCGCAGTTAATGCCTTATAGTGTAAGGTTTGCTGACGCCAAGTTAAAGATAACAGGAGAGACAGCTACAAGGCCAGACAGAATGTGCTGGTTGTTTAAGTTGCTAGGAATGCTTGTTAGAGGTTGCAGGAAATAAATATTGTTGTAACCCAAATAAGGAAGGCAGAGTATTTGTGTAAAGTTTTGATTGGCTAATGTGTAGTGCAGTAGCATTAAGGAATATAAAAGTGTGTGTAATGACCTGCTCTGGTGTGCAGGCTTTGAGATTCTATTCTCCCTGTACCTTGTTTGCAGCTGCAAATAAACTTTTCTGCTTCTCCACCCCGTTGTGATTATTGAATGATGCACACCGGGTAATGAACCCCCTGCTGTTGTTCGCCTCTGGCACTGGGTGCCGGCAACAGGCCTAAAAGAGTGAGCCTTTCTCCAAAAATAAAGCTGGCATATGGAGCAATATCGAGGATATCGTTCACTTTACAGTCTTCCATGCATTTCTCCCAGGTCTTGATTTCAACAGCATCTGGCACACCTATGCCAGAAGAATAGACTTGCAAGACCCCAGACAGCAACAGACATGAGTAGGACCACCCACAGGACCACATTGCCGACAGGGTTATCAAGCCACAAAACAGACATAAACTGTTTTCCCCCACTTCCTCCTGGAGAGACGGGTTATAAAGCAAGCATATAACAGCAGCTATGTCTGTGTGGGCTGGGAGTTTAAGTATCGGCTCAACCCTCTGTTGGTCGGGGGAGTGCCCTTCTTGTCCTAGAGTTATGCCAAGGAAATTTACCTGCTGGGAGCACAACTGGACCTTCTTTGGGCTTACCTTAAACCCAGATCCTAAACCTTTTGCAACGCTTTGTCCAGTACCTCCAAATTCTCTTATTCTGGTCTGAGTGCAGACCAGGATATCATCCACATAAGAAATCACAGGCATCCCCTCCCACATCTTGATTATACGAGCATGGCAAATAATTGGGGCATTACTGTGGGCCATTACTACTTACCTTTATCCTGAAAGGTGAAAACAAATTTATAGTTGCTGTCCCGGTGTAAAGGGGTAGCAAAGAAAGTGTTGGTCAAATCTAATACCAAAAACACTGGGCCATTCCTACAGTGGAAGCCATCACCACCTGATACTCCAGCACCAGAGGGGCTGTTGGCAGGGTAACCAA